TCAAGTGTTCACGAAAATTTGATTAACTCTCACCTCGTTTTGCTTTGTGCGTTGAGCGAGGTTTTGCGTGGTTTGATTGGTTTGTGCGTGATTTGCTTTGATACAATAGGATTCTCTTCTTTATCGACATTGTACCAGAAAGCTACATATAGAACATTGTAAAAAGTAAGCATCGCATATTGAGTTTTGTCAATTCTTGCGCTACTCATCACTAATAAAGTTTTCTTTCAGTGAATCTGTTTCCGTGTTGAATACAGTACAGTACGCAGTTTGAATACATTTCGTTAGGATTTTCTCATCTCGAGCACAGTTCTGGACAATTAGACAGATCTGTACCGGATTCGCTCTGGTGGAGTGCGTTTCTCGCTGTTTCACCAGTGAAGTACACATCAACATTAACCGAGTGTGAGGTCTTAGAGTCGATCATTCAGGTCCTATTCACCTGTGCGCGGTTGACTTGATCGCCAGTCCGTCGAAAAAGCAATCCAGATGTGCCGCTCGGGACAGACAGACAGACAGCACTGACCGAATGTAACTTCTGACCGGTCCGTTTGTTTTTGCGGACGTGTACATTGACTGAGGTGCATGGACCAATGGATGAAGATGAGGTGTCGTACCGCGTGCACAATGCGCAAATTCTAAAATGCAAAGTGGTTTGCACGATTGCACACATGTTATTTACTGTGCGTTGCTAAGCCTATTACCTAACCGATCGATGGGACTAACCGTATGCATGGGAGTGAGCGAACTGGTACCCGTACTTGAACTATCGTCAGTGCAACTGGAAAGAAAGTAGACAGCGACCAAGACCGGATAAATGTATTAACCTGGGATACAAACAAGGCGCTCTGAAACTTGAAAGCAAGAATTTTAGCCTTTTAGACGATTATCATATGAAATCAGAGATATTTCCATTGTCGACTACCAACCTTTATATGATGAACAGTAACAAGAATGTTACGGCTGTAGCATGCTACATGCAAAATTGATCACACTACCGGTTTTACATCGTTTTAACTTATTGAAGACGTAAATTCCGCGATTCTCCACGTGATCAGTTAGCTCTTTTTCGCTTAATTTCTCGGGTACTGTGTACGATCATGCTTACTCCAAGCAAAGCACATATCGCACCACCCAGATTTTTGTTGTCTATTTGGATACCCATGTCACGTAATTCTTCCCTTGTATACAACACACTGTAATGAATAAGACTTGTCTGCAGTGATTCGTCTCCTTAAACTAATTCATCACAATTTATACAATTAAGATGAAAACAGGAGGGCGGTACATGACAGTCTTATGTAAATTGTGTTCTTTTCTACTCCAACAGTTGATCCCTCGTTTGCCTGGCCTTTTACTATGCTGCACACGGGTCGATCCGGGCAATTGTAACCGATAAAGACTGAACTAGCGGATCACACGCTACGACGCTTTTGATCTGGTGGACACTATCCAAGAAGTCCGTGTAACGGGAATACGAATGCTCTCCCTCGCCAGATGGACGGTGTGGCGACGGGCTTTCCACTATGCTTGCTGTGTTTACGGCAATGCATTCACTTTTTGAATAGTATCCATCACATCAATTACCAGGATCGACCTGTGAGCAGCATATAGAAGGCCAGACAAACGAGGAGTAAACTGTTGGAGTAGAAAAGAACACATTTTACGTAAGAATGTCATTTACAGGTGACACTATAACCAAGACAGCTACTAGAACGTTGACAACCGCGATCAGTGAAACATTCCGTGGAGCCAAACTTCACGAAACTTTTGCGTCTAGATCGGCTGCGACTCAAAGATAAAGCTCCTGTTTTCGCGATCTCACTTTTCGTTTACTCTTTCAAGTGTGTTCCTGCAGAACAACATAAATCGATTGCACGAGCAGACACTTGACTCAGACAATTCGTGAGCATCGTTCGGCTTGGTTGAAAACTGGGGTCGATTATGAGCGTAATTTGTTCGCACCGTATTGAGTCAGGTCACTCAGTTGACTTGAACAGGGCGTTTCACCCACCCTATCAGGTTTGTGAGCAGCAATTGAAGCGGATGGAACATCGATCGCATCCTGGCCGCAGTGGGAATTCGCATTTACAATCCACCGTTGTGTACACAAAAACAATTTGTGAAGTCGTTGTGTCCCCTATGACCCGCCACACACCCGATTTTCACACTCCCATCCTAGTCTTGAACATATTTGGACTAGATATTATATCGGAAACAGCAGACGCTATCTACATCTTTTGAAGCTGATTTAATTATCCTTGCAATTATTGACCCAAATTATATAAACTATGATGTATTAGCTAAAAAAATTCGAAGCACTGGGAACATTATATTCTGTTCAAAATGTTTGTTGGTGGTGGAATGGGACGATTCAAATGAGCTAAGGACCAGAGTGTAACTTTTTCTTATCACGCTGTCGTGCATTTACTTTCGTCGTCTGACAACCGTCCATCTGCTTCTTAAACAGCTTTTTTTATCGTTCCACATTGAACCAACCGTTGTGTTAACGAAAAGTGATTATTCGTTGCCAAGTTATTCCGATTGGTGATCTCTACCCACTGAAAAGGACTTTCAGTTCCCAGTTTCTACACCGCTTTGTGAACGTTACTACTTGACATTACGCAACTTGCTTGCATTCCAAGAACAAATTGCCCCACAAGTTGAGGTACGATACTTTGCTTGCACATTATTCACTCTGTTAATGCACGTGGATAACCGACTTTACTGGAACTGGACTTATGGTTCGTCACTCAACCAGTGGACGACATTCCGATACAACAGGAGAGCACGATTATCTACAGTCAAGTTATGTTAACCTGTAACCCTCGGAAACTGGATAAGTTTACAATAAAATATGCGGAGTATTTAGCGAAGCTGCCTATCACAAATGATGATATCAAATTTAAAAACAATCATTTTTGTGTGCGAATATGACAGCCATCCACTCACTGAAGAAGTCTCAGTTGACTGAGCTGTTCTTGTCGTATTATTCTCTTTCAACGGGCTGCCTAAATTGACCAGCTGACCCCCGGGATTGGTAGCGGATGCCGCCTCTGTCACTGACCGTGGACCACGAGTACGTGAAACTGCAGGCGCTGGAGGTGGAGGAAGTAATCCGACAGAGCCAATACTGCCACTTAATTTTGCAGTTGGGCGTGGCCTATTGGTACCGGAAGATTGAGTTGGTTCATCGCCAGTACGTCGAGTGTTCAGATTTAATTTGATTTTCTGTCCCTCCTTGAATCCCAGGTCCAGGTTGGGAGTTTCAGACATCTTTTGTTCGGCTTCTTCAACCTCCCGTTCTTGTTTAAGCCATCTGTTAAATGGAAGAGGTTCAAAAAAAGTATTGGTGAAATGTGCCACCTGGACATGTATGCAAGGCCGATGTGGAACCATTCAATCTTAATAGGCTTCAATGATTGGTAGCTGAGATGAATGAATCATATGTTTTCTTGTGTACCCTGATCTGTTTGGTCCATTCTGAATTCAAATGACTGAACAGAAGTTTCCTGGTTGCTACTTATTAATATAATACTCAATGTTTAAATTTAGTGTCGGACGTGTTTGGGTTAGCAGCCACTAAGCTATAGCACGTCAGAACGACTAGTTTGAGAATCTCTAAATCAATCCATGACACAAACGAAGACACAGTGGTGAAATAGTGCATAGTAGTCACTAATCCCCAGACACGATCTCAATAGGGATTGAGCATAAGATGCAAATACCCTGAGCACGTATGGAGAAGACATGCATCGTAGACCAAAGCCGAGTTTGCTAATTAGCTTGGAAATAGGACAGACGGTGAGGAAGCGGAGAAAAAAGTACACAAAGGGGGCGGAGGATAACCGGTAGATTATTGCTCGAATGCACTCAACTCAATACGTTATTATATATATTGAAATGCCAGTAAGCCGACTACTGGCTAGCACCTGCTTTTCCTTGTCAAGATGATATATGACAATGACTCTGAATGCCTCACTATGGTCAAGAGTGGGTGTCGTTGGTTGTGACTGGTTACGTATCTATTGCATCTCGTGAAACGCTCCCAGACAAAAAAACCTCGAATAACCCCTGCTGAGAAAGCTATATGCACTTGTTTCCCGAGGCAACGGTGTTGTCCTACCGAAGATGAAAAGAAAAAAATCCGAGGCTACAATACGGTCGGTGAACCACCGGTAGTTGCCCCCGAGATTTACCTAAAAATCTCGATTCCAAAATAACCAAGAAGACGTATGAACCACAACCATACCGTCCTGATTACTGCTATGGTCAATGGCTTGATTTGGCATCAAGATATATTGGGCATGTTGTACGTTTGACTCGGTCCAAAGGGCGCATGTTTCTTTTTGCTGCCCGCCACACAATAGCGTGGAATAAAAATCATGTGAAAACAGGCTGGATTGGGAGACGTCAACAAAGCTTAAAGAAAAACACAAGTAAAATACCGAATAGAGTTGAAAGGAAATTTGCAGCAAAAAAGCAACCGCTGGTTGTGCAGAGAAGATAATCTCTTTTGGTGGTGATATTATTTCCTGAGGACTCACTTGAAATGGTCTTGTATAGCTACATTAAGATCAAATGAATCCGTTCGCTCTGTGAAGCCCAATCCTGTGAACATGGTTCGACCATCATCTGCCATGAGACGAATGACGAAATAGCGACTGGAATCTAACACGGACTCTACTGCGATCCCGGGAAACGCATCTACCGGGCATTTGGCAAACAATTCTCCGGTATTTCGATCTTCCAATTTTAGAGTTAGATCACGACCTTTAGCCACCACTCGTAATCGCCCCGTCCAGTACGGTGTATCCAAGTTCCAATCGGCGGCACGATAACCACGATTAGATTGTCTTGGTGGAATGCGATAGACGAAAACCTCATTCTTTACCAGAAGTACATTTTCGTAGTCCATGGGTTAAATATTACTGCAGAGAGGAACAGTATAGTTTGATTGGTTAACGAACAGATGGAAGTGCGGCGACAAAACGGTATGGATCGTTCCCTGCAGTGAATATTACTATATCTTTGTGACAAGCCAGACATTTTGTTACCATCCCTATCAGTAAATTTTTATCTCAGAAGGTAACGTTCGCTGAGGCGATCCATCTTCGAATGATTATTTATCGATAAATTACATAATTTTTCAAGCTGTGTGGACAGTAATACTTGGTCAAACCTATTTTAATGAGTATTGTTGGCAAGTATATGTATAACTATCATTATTTCAGAACACTACGAAAAACCGTAAGGTTTCGGGGCTCACGATCAGAAACTTGACTTAAATTCAGTTGGTCAGATACGGAATCCAAACCATACAGCTAAGAAAGGAGCTCATCGCCACAACCGTCCATCGAATGTTTGAAATGTTGTGCAACCAACAAAGCAACCTAACTAGAAATCGACTCACAAATTGGCGGTGTGTCATGCGCCAGTGCCGCACTACCTTTGACAGAGGGTGTCTGATAAGTATATCTCTATTTTCGAGCAGATTGTATAAAAATGGCTTAATTCGTGTTCAAGCTCACGGCACATTTTTGCTTATTTAATCAGAGAAATCGATGTTTTTCAGCACTCCCTTTCACCTAAATAATTTTTAAATCTGTAGCTGGAGTGATTTTCGAGGATAGAAAAAACGAATCTCTCCCAGGTGGCAAATTTTTAGATCTACTACTCGCATACGCTGTGATGTGTTAATGACTTGTTGAAGGAAGCCAGATACATAATTAGCTAGCTTTCTGCGACTGCGCCTTGTTAGGTGGCCACCCATAGATCTTCGAGGCATAACTGGGCCTGCGGCTGAGATAAGTCTTCATATAAAGCTTTCAGGGTTATGAAGTCAGACAAGCCAATAAACCATGTCAAAATGCAATTATCAACATTGTACACAACAGCACAGGGACGCAAACTTGACTGATCGTTGCCAGACTCAAAAGAAATATAAAGTAAGTCTTACACGGCTCCATTCTCGGTGTGCTACTGTTTCTGGACTTCGCGAATGACATACCATCGACTTTAAATAGCCCGTGCCTGATCTACGCCGATGACCTCAAGCTCTGGTGCACAATCCGATTGAAGTAGGATCAGGCGTTTCTTCAGGAGGACCTAAACGCTCTTCTGGGCTGGTCGAGCGTATGGAGGCCGTCGATGAACATATCCCAATGTGCCCACCTGAAAATCGGGAGACATGGTCTCATGACCGCTCTACATCTTAAGAGCATCACTCTCCGACAATGAACTGAGGAAAGAGATTTAGGCGTTATTGTCACCAGCAATCTAAAACTTCGTGCGCCCACAGAGGGAGCTTGCTCTTCTGCGTGGAGTATTTTAGGCGCAATCCACCGTTAATTTAGTTCTTTAATCCTAAATGCTTTCAGGTCTCCGTTCACCTCCCACGAATGCCCTCGACTTGAATATGGTGGTGTGGCTTTCTTTTCTTATACGGCTTTGAGGCTGCCCTGTTGGAAAGAGTTCAGAGGGCTGCTACCCACCTTGTCGTGGATCTGCATGCCATTAGCTATGAAGACCGTCTGACGGCTACCGGGTTATATCCTATGGCATATAAACGCCTGATAGGTGACATGATCTGTATCAGACATTATACGAGGCAACTTTCGCCCAGAACTGCAATCTAGATCCACTTTAAGAAGGAGGGGAGTGCACTGACGCTTTGCAAGATGTAGTCAAATGGTCTGCCGGTGGGTTGTGCCTGTCAGGGAGGGTGACTAATCTCTGGAACGCGTTACTGGAGGATGTGGTGGATGAAGCAGAACAAGAAAACGCCATGCAGAAGTACTGGACTGGTAATAATACCTAGCCAGCCCAGTGCAGCATAACGTCATGGAGCTGATACAAAAAAAATCCCACTACCCTTCCAACGTTAAGATTGCCTGAAGATAGTGAATATTAACAAAGTGTGTTAGTATAGTGTACATACGCAAGGTCATCAAAAATCTTTTAATTGGTGCCCAAATGTATTAAAGTGATGATAAATGTGCATCAAATAATTATTCGGAAAAACATTTCGATATTTATTTAAATGCTTGACGTTTTTTTATTGTACACGAAGTGATTTACAGCAAAAGGGGTAAATCCCACAATCAATGATATACTGTAAGGGGGAGGTATGTGAGAACATTCAATTAAGAATCAATTTGTTAATCCTGATTTTAAAAAGTTTAGGGTTATAAGAGCTGAGAAACAGTTCAGTTTAGCTTCCGTTTGTACAACCATTAATCATGTGTGAGCTGGGAAACACGGAAATGGGAAGTATCCCACAATTTCGCAGTCCTCGGGAAAAAAGATCGGAAGATAGAAGTTCGGCATCTGGGGGCAGAAACCTGACAAGGGTGACTGCTCACCTGAGAACGAGAAAAAATCAATGGGAGGAGAACCGCTGAAGCGAGTTCGGAAGAGAAAAAAAAACGAAATTATTAACGATAGAAAAAGAGATAACGAAGCAACTGCCCGGCGGTGGGAAAGCGACTTTAGGTTGGGAGTTAAAGACAATTCGTCGATCAACCGGATGGCCTTACGTTGAACAAGGTCGAGGAAAGAGCGGAATACGAAGCTCCATACGTGACTGCAGTATTCGAGAATAGGGGAGGGGGGATCAGAAGTAGAACCTATATTTATTCTGGAATTCATTCAAGTGATTCCGTTTCCTTTCTCCAACGGACCGGACCAATGACCTTGGTCCTTCCTTAATTCGGCGTCAAGAAGCTTCTATTCTATTCGCCCGTCCCTTGATTGATGAATCCTACGGAGTACCGTCACTCGCAATGACTCGGGTACCTTCGTTAATAACTATTTCTTCCATTTGGGTGGTAAATTTTTTTACACACGTCTGAATCCAGACTGTGTGCCAAACAAATCGCGGTACAATAATTTTTATGGAAAGAAAAACGTTCCACGATTTGCATGTGGGCCGAGTACTGCCAGGTTGCCCAGGCCAGGGCAGGTGAACTTTCTTGAGGAATCCATAACCGGAGCCTCCGGCTAGCCAAAGCCTGACCCCCAAGGCAGCAGGGCGATGTGCGAAAACCGCAATCTATTGGAAGCCGGTGTCCAGATCATCAGATCATCAGATCATACGCTATTCGGACGGGATCAAACATCCAAGTTGCCCCCTACACCTCCGAATGTGTCCAAATGAGCCGGTGACCGTTGTCACAACCAGAAAGGTGTGGGTGTGGTTCGTACGCCTCCTCTTTGATGGTTTGGAATCAGGGGTTTTGGCCAACTCCCCTAGGTGAACTACCAGTGGTTCATCAACCCGATTATAGCCCCGGATGTCGGCTTGTCGTCCTCTTACTTTGGTGGGAAAACACCTCCGCCACAAAAAGGCAGTGAGTAGGACATCCT